TGCATATAATTAGAGAGTGGAACCTGTCCTCTGATGTTTTCCTTCTGGGATGCTTCTAAAAGCAACGAGGATTATTCAGTATAATCACAAGAATTGTCCAGACAGGCAACAATTAGCTACAGTGACCACATGGCAGCTGGGTTAGTTAGGAACCCGAGAGCTGAGAGGTTACACCCACATCCGCCAAAACTGTTAATAATTTACTAATCATTTTCAGCAAGCAGAACCCACAAAAAACCTTGCAAAGTGTGAGCTACAGTTACCATAGTAATATGGAGGCAGTCTTCTTTTAAAAACAGATGTTATTGTAAATATTATGTTCATTATCATTATTATTTTAGAATACCTAAACAGGATGCTTGATCCCAAAATATTTGGTGTCCTTTTCATCATCAACATCATTTTATTTATAGAGCACATTTAAAATCCAGCATGAGAGCTGACCAAAGGGCTTCCCAGACAGATAGAGAAAAGTAAAAACCATAAAATCAAAATAAAGCAATAAAACATTAAAACAAAAGCATTTCAACAAATCACGAAAAGCCATTCCATAGCAGTGAGTATTTAAACGAGATTTAAAAACCACCAGAGAAGGAGCTTTATACCAAGAAGCAGCACATTCCATGGCTGGGGGTGGTATAGATAAATGCTCACTCTCCCTGCGATTTATAGCACATCCTGGGAGTGCAGAGCAGGAGGTGATCTGCTGACCTCAACAAATGCTTCGAAACAGGGGTGAGCAGATCGGAAAGATATACAGGTGCTAGGTCATTTAAAGCCTTGCACACAAAGGTCAGAAGCTTGAATTGTACCCGGAACAAAACCGGAAGCTAATGTAGATGCTCCAGGACTGGAGTAATGTGGCCACGTTGGTTTGTTTCTGTCAGGAACCTGGCGGCTGGATTCTGGATGACCTGTAGATGATTTAGAGCTGTGCTTGGAGCTCCAATAAGGAGGGCATTTGCATAGTCTAAACAAGAGGTTATAAAAGCGTGTAAAACTGATTCTAAATGCCAACGCATTAAAATTGGTCTAAGACGAAACAAACGATGTAGTTGATAAAAGCAAGACTTCACAACTGAGTTTATCTGAGGAACCTCAATAGGTCTACATCTAATTTTACCCCAAGACTTTTTTTAATAACAAAAAACAAGAAAACAGTTTGTCTTGAACAAAGAACCACTCTGCACTGGGATGTAGCAATAGCACTAGCTGCATAATGGCAATCCCATACAAAACATGACCTAGTATGCAGATCTAACTGTTTTGAAAGAATATTCACCTATGAAACTTTGCTGATGTCACACAAACAAACATGTAAAGTATTTTGAGTTGTCACAGAGGTAGCCATTTTAATAAATAGACCAAAACAAACTGGACAATTTTTTATAATTATTACCCTTTTTTATTGCAACAAACATATTCCCGTGTGGACATTAGATTTAAGAATGCTTCTTTGCAAATGTGAAACAAAAATTGGTCATCTGACATGTTAAAGCAAACTATTCCCCCGAAATCTAATTAGAAACATACAACCAAATCATATTTATAATAGCATATAAAATATAATATTTATAATATTCAGTGTTGTGTCCTTGGACACGACACTGCCTTGCCTGCTGGTGGTGGTCGGGGGTGCCAGTGTTCGGCAGGCCTCATCTCTGTCAGTACACCCCAGGGTAGCTGTGTGAATGTATATATGTGAATGTGCGGAAGATTAATTGTGTTGTGAAGCACCTTGGGGGATTGTAGAACCCTAAGAAGGTGCTATAAAAATACAAACCATTGACTTTTCATGATTGTTCAATTTTTATTTTAGAGAGGAGACAAACTGTTACCATGGTTACTTTGCTGATACACTGACTACAGATTTACTAGTTTGCAGTTATCTGTGCTGTGGCGACTGTAGAATCCACCAGTTTATGTGCACACATGTTTTAACTGCACTGTGGACAGAAGCTCAGATGCATATATACTACTATGTATAAAAAGCAAATCTCAAACAAAATGTTACTATTCCAAAACTCTCAATTACAGATGTGGACAAAATGGTTCGTACCCATTGCCAATGAAAGAAAAACTCATGATGGTCACATAAATAACCTGAATCTGACAGAAGTAACAATAAAATAAAGTTCTATGAAATTTAACCAGTAAACGTCAAACATTGCTTTTCAACCACCCTTCAACAGAATTATTTAAGAAATAAACTCAAGGAACAGGCTTGGACAAAAAGGATGTACCCCTAACGTATTATTTTGTGGCACAACCTTTTGAGGCAGTTACTGCAATCAAACGATTCCTGTAACTGTCAGTTACCTGTACTTCTCAGCAGGTATTTTGGCCCATGCATCATGAGTAAACTGCTCCAGTTGTCTGAGGTTTGAAGGGCACCTTTTCCAGACGGCATATTTCTGATTCATTGTCAGATTCAAGTTATTTCTGTGACCATTGTGGGTTTTTCTTTCATTGACGAAAGGGTACCAACAGTTTTGTCCATGACTGTAGGTCAAAGATTCTTGAACCTGGGGCATTAGGGGTTGTTGTAGTTGTTTGTACTCTTACAGAGTTGCATGTTGAAGATATGTGTGTTGAAATGAACCATTTCCAGTTTTGGGGAGAAAAGTTATTGATCATTCCACTCTCCACACCCTAAGGTTTTTGTAAAATAGAAAAATAAAAAATGTCATACACTGGTAAAAATAAATACCCTAATTTCCGGACTTTAGAGTGCACCTCAATATAAGCCGCTTCGGGCTAAAAGCGCAGATATCTACTGAATTGAAAACGTAGTTTAACTGTCAGTGTCGCTCTCCATGTTGCTGTCATCATCCCCGGGTGAAGCGGTGAAAACATGAGGAGCAAGCACCACCTCACCCCTGCCACACGAACCTCAAGGGATAAACCATCAATCCTGCTGCTCAATGGTCAACTTTCCTCGCGGAGTCACCCATTAAGACAGTGGGAGGGTTAAGTCAATTCCACATTTTTCCTCAAAGCAGCAGGATAAAAATCAGAAACAAGTAAAAATGATTTAATGCTAGTGCTTTAGCAGCTTTAATAAAACCAACCACTGAAGATTGTAGCACAGAGGTTTGTTTACTTTTTCCCTCTCTTTCATTCCTTTTTTCTCATCAAAGCTGCAATAAAACACAAGTAAAACACATAAATGCCAGACACACTGTCTCAGCTGAGAAAACAGAATCACTCTAAATGTGAAATAATTCGTGTTCTCCCGCGCTTAATTCCACATCCTCCCATTTAGCCTCAATGTTTTTGTAGCAAATCACATGAACGCTCTTTCTGCTGATGCTGTAATCACACTACATTACAGGTTTGTATCATTTGTTAAAATAGCTGAGTACAAATTTCCACAGCAACTACACTTCCACACCTCCTCCCAAACACAAGATTTTTAAATCAGCAGGAGAGGAAAACTGTTTAAGTCCTCAGCCCATCTGCTTTCATTAAGACAGAGTGGTGCTCTCTACATCCACAGTAATTGACATGTGGGTGAACAATGACTTAACAGTGGAGAGCTTTACAGACAGGCCAGCTGAGGAGAGTATTAAGAACTGATCAATATCGATGGGCAAATGGTCTGTGCTGTGTCACAGAAACCATTGGGTGTATGTGTGGTGTGTGTGTGTGTGTGTGTGTGTGTGGGGGGGGGGGGGGGGGTCTTCGTGTATAGGGGTGGGGTGGGGGGTCTACGTGCTTAACAGTCTGCAGCCGAGGACTAAAAGACTTTTTTTTAGTAACAGAATAGATGAGTTCCATCCACAGACCTTTCATGCTGAAGTTATTAATTGGCAAATGAACAATAAAAAACTGTCACTGCAGAGATGCAGGCTTCCAGCAATTTAAACAGAGCCCATTATCAAGACTGGAGTGATCTCTGCCTGCTTTCTAATCATATTTTGTGGTACGTACTTTGCCAAGTTCCTGCCTCTTTCTGTGTTGTCGCTGCACATAGTAGGCTTGATTCAGATGATGTGGAAAAATTCAATCATGGTCTCTTGTGTAAAATGTGGTGAGACACATCCAATGGCATCTGTTAGTGTTCTAAATGATGTAGATGTTACAGAGTACGAGAGCTTTGTCCTCTGTTATCCTGTCAGCCCTGAATTACTCACCAAACACAGCCGAGTGATTTATTTCAAAATCTATTATCAAAATGAGTGGGCAGAAAGCAGGCTCATAATTCAATCGACACTTTATGGTGTTTGTTATTGGGAGCAGAGGGCAGGGACACATACAGATGCTAAAATACTCTGCTGGCAGAGCCCCTGATAGAGCCACTGGCCTGCAAAGTTAAAACACACACTCAGGACCCGCAATTTGAAAATATCCACCTGAGTGTGGATGGGAGTGACACGGTGAATGAACTGTTCTCTGTATACTTACCAAAGCTCACATACAGCACATTTTTTAGACACCAGCACCTGCAAATGTAAAAAAATTGGGATCTCAGGCATGTCTCAAATGTTTTTTTTCCATGTCTTGTCTGGCTGTGAAGCAAACAGAATTGATGTCTGAATGCTGGTGGCAAGCCTTACATATTTACTTTCAGTTGGAGCATAAAAGCTGCTGCTTTAATGTCACGCCTGATACTTAAAACTTAGTCATTGTTTTTTTTTTGGATGCTTTATATTTCTGACCAGACACACAGAGGTGAAAGAGAAGGGAAGAGACAAAAGGAAGAGAGAGGGGTGGGGGGTTCACAAAAATAAACAATACATGTTTAACAAAAGTCTGCTTCTAGACCTGCAGAAAGGGGAAAACAACACACAACAATACAACAAGAGCAAGCCATCACTGTGTCAGCCTGATGAGGAAATAAAAAAATTAACATTTCATTTCTCAGATATGGAACAATTGTTTTCAGCCTTTGGTTGCCATGTCAGTCTCAGTTCAGGTTACCACCCCCAATCCATATTGTCATGTTGGGTTGAAGTTTTTTGACCCACGACATGCAGAATCACACACAGGCAGAAGGCAAGTAAAAATTATTTATTTAAGTTGGATGAGTGATGCAGATGTAGATCGGGATTCGGGAGGTTCTGATGAAGTTCTGAAGTAGAAAACCAGAGTGAGTAGTTGCAGGACAACGGGCACAAAAGGTAATGAGAGTTTGTCTTACAGTTTCCTGGTAGTTAGGGAGAGTTTGAGAGGAGGGCACGTCAAGGTTGGCTGAGTTGGTCGGGTGAGAGGCAGAGGAAATGGCTGGGAGCTGAGCACTGGAGTCCAGGGTTGTACTGATGGCAGGTGGGGGTTGGAGAGCAGGCGGTCAGGGGCGAGCGACGGGCTGGTGAGCAGGATTGATCCGGTGAGTCTTTTTGCTTGATGGTGGAAGTTGGTAGCCTGGCAAGCCAGACTAAATAAATGTATTATTTAGTCTGGCCATGCTCCATTGACGGCTCTCGGTTGTGGGGCGGGTTCTACCGTTGTCTTTCAAATGATCTCCACATTCCACTGGACAAAGAATGTGACATACTCTTGTTTCACTCTGTGGCATCATCCACCCACCAGGCATATAGAGTGCCCTGATTGGCCACAAAGCGGATAAAGCTCTGTGATTGTTCACTGAGCAGATAGAGCATGATTGGCCCACCATTATGGACCAATCACAGCTCTTTATGTGTTTGAAACCCCTCTAGAGAGCTGTGATTGGCTAGCCAGAGTCCTGGTAGGAGCTGCTGAGGTTCCAATGAGCATGCTAGACCAACTTTGCAAAGCAAGAATTTGGTCTAGTTCACTAGGCTAGGAAGTTGGCAGATGAATGAAAGGTACCTGAGGAGGTTGGAGGTAACAGGGTAGATTAACACGAGTGAAGCGAGGTAAACAGGAGATAACACAAGTACAGGCAAGGTTCTGGCGAGAATACTACCCAATACTGAGTAATCATCCGGCGCTGATGTGTTGTCCCGACACTCCTTAAATCCCCTGACCACTGATGAGAAGATCAACAGCAGCTGCTCTCCGGACACACCCACCTGCATACAGAGAAACTCAACACAAAACAGGTGTTAGCTCAGCACAGACCATGACACCAATGGGCTGACAGAATGCATGAACCAGGAGTTGGAGAAATTGACCTCAGACAATCCCTTTGACTGGAGTCAATTCCTCCCCTGGGTTGAGTACGCTCACAATTCCCATGTTTTGGCGGCTACTGGTCTCTCGCCTTTTGAGTTTCCCTAGGCTACCAACCACCGTTCTTCCTTCCGATGAAAAGGACATTTTGGCCACATCCATTCATCATCACATCGGCCACTGTCACCGCGTTTGGGACAACTCCACATCCGCCTTCAACTGCACTCTGAAACAGGACCCTGCTCCCCAATACGTGCCGGGCCAACAGGTCTGGCTTTACACTCTCATTATTCCGCTCAAGTTCATGTCCTGTAAAATGTCTCCCAGGTTCGTCGTCCTTATGAGGTCTAGGAAGTTATCAGTCCTGCTTCTTTCCGTCTCCACCTTCTTCCCTGTCTCTGGATCCATGTCATCTCTTGTCCTCTGGCCATTCCCCTTCTTCCCGCCCTGCCCGTTGATGGGCTCCCCGCCTGGTTGGTACGCTGGATTGTGGACTCTTGTTGGCATAGCTGGGGTCGCCAGTTTCTTGTCAACTGGGTTACGGTTCGGAGGCTCGTCAGTGGGTGCCTCGCTCCTTCATCTTGGAGCCATCTCTCCTAACCCTAACCCTCTCTTCCTTCTACTTCCGCTGGGCCACCTGAGGGGTGGTGGTTGTTGGTGGGGGTGTCATGAGTTGGTGTTTGTGTGTATGTGTGGGTTTCTGCTTTCACCCTCAGGCATCCACTGGAGGGCACTAGGGAGATGCTCATCACAGCTCCCTCTGGGAGCTGCTTTGGCAGATGTGATATCCACACACCTGCACACCATTTAGCCATCAGTAATCAGGAGGATAAAAGGGAGAGGAGGCCAGGCATCCAGTGCCAGAGCATTAGCCTCAGTGGTAACCTCCAACCATTGCCTTTGAAACTTAGCCCTTGTGTATTTCAAATTTTAGTTGGCAACCTTGATATTAATATTGTCTATTGTCTTTCTGGCTCTTCTAGGTTAATTGGCTGCCTGTGGTGATTCCTGGAATCGTCTAACTCCACAGTCCAGCTTCACCCTTGGATTCCTCTGTCATAACCATCCATATCCACCTTCCTAATCTTCATTACTGGCTCTCCCCATCTCCTGGAATCCTCCTGAGCTCCTGTTTATCTCCATCATTACCATCATCATCCTCAACTGCTGTGCGTCTCCTGTCTACAGTTATCCATCTGTGGACCACACCCACTCTACCACCACTCCAGCTCCACTTCCTCTCTTGAGTCCAAATTACTCCTCACCTCTGTAAGCATTTGCTCTTACCTGCTATTATTAGATTATCTTATCTCCTGCCCAGCTCATCTTCTTTCTTGTTTTATAGTTTTCGGGTTGCCATACCTGACATGCGTCTTCCAGTCGTCTTCACCGATTAGCTCCAGTTCCCTACCTTCCATAACACCTAATTCCTCTAAAACTTTTATATACCTATTCTGATTTCCTGTGAGTGTGTTCTCTGCATGTGGGTCACGCATCTGTCAATAAACACAACAATTTCTGTGTTTTTAGCTTTCTTTAGGTTTTGCTCAGTGTTTGCTGGTTTTGAGAGAGAGAGAGAGAGAGAGAGAGAGAGAGAGAGATAGAGAGAGAGAGAGAGAGAGAGAGAGAGAGAGAGAGAGAGAGAGAGAGACGAGAGAGAGAGAGAGAGAGACAGAGAGAGAGAGAGAGAGAGAGAGAGAGAGAGAGAGAGAGTAGAGAGAGAGAGAGAGAGAGAGAGAGAGAGAGAGAGAGAGAGAGAGAGAGAGAGAGAGAGAGAGCGAGAGAGAGAGAAGAGGGGAGAGAGAGAGAGAGAGAGAGAGAGAGAGAATAAAACAGTATTTCTGCCTTGAACTGCAGCTTACCTAGTTGGTTGAAGGCTCATCTGTTACTATATTTCTCTAGAGGTGTAGATACAGACACCGCATCACTCATCTAACAAAAATTGGCAGGGTATTTTCTAATAAAATTTGGACATAGTCATCTTTAGATATTGATCCTTTTACCAACCCAGTGACTCAGCAAAAATGGACAAACAAAAAACTGTGTAACCATACCTTTTGTTTTCTACTCATGCTAGTGATGTTTTTTTAGACTTATTGAAGATTACATAAAAAATACAAAATAACCATTGACAGAGTCTTTTGGTTAGATATTATTTTTGGGTGAATCACTCTGGATCATCTTTTACAGATTGATTTTAGCAGATGCAAAGCCCTTGAATTTAACATTTGTAAAAACTATAGGAAAGGAACAATTCTGAAACCAATTTGCATGGTAATAGATGTTGTGTTACATCTAAGCTATTTTTTAGGCTTAATGGAATAATCTTTCTAGGGAAAAGTTCATTTACATTTAGATTATTGAAGAAAAAGAAGTTGTTTCCCGGAGCTGAAACATGAGCTGGGTCCATGTATCTGTTGCATGCGTGTTGTTTATGTTTTTTGAAAGGGGACACCATATACACTCCTTTAATCTCTTTTTCTGTTATTTATTAAGAAGCACTAGGAGTATGTGGTACATGTGTGGACTGTGTTTCTTTTGGTTTTTCGGAGTAATCCTTAACTACGTATGTTACGGCAAATGTGTGTGTTATTGGCTGATGTCAAAGGTGTACCCCTTCTCATGTTTATGGACTACTGTGTTGGTGCAGAAAATGGAATGGATGGACTAAGTCCTGGTTTACATGGCAGACCATACACATGGTGATAAAACAAAGGTTTAACAGATTTAGTGAAACAGTGTGTGGTGTGCAGTAACTTAGCAAAAACTTCACACTATGACAAACATTCCCCAGTCTCACAGGAAATCTTGTGAACCAATCAAAACAATCTACAAACATGGCAACATGTCTGTTTGGGCTCGAAAATCAGACCAAGACATTACAAAATGCTGAAAGTCTGGCTTTATGATCAAAGTGGTCCAAGAACAGACATCACTTGATACACTACATACGGTAATATCAGATGTGGTTATCTTTGGAGCCATTATGGTTATCAAGCGTGTCCTTTAGATTGCCAAAAGGGGTGGATCGGGTCAAAAATTGGCATAACTATCCTGCCGGTGAACCAAGCCTAAGACTGGAGCCTTTTTCATGAGGAAATGCAGTTTTGCCAAAACAATAATTGTATTTGTTCGTAACTTTGTTCTAAAATGCACAAATAGTAAACTTTGAGGCCTAAAATAGCAAAGAAATTAATTTATTTGTTCTGTAACACTTGGTAATGATAAGGGTCCCTTTATTAATGTTATCATTATTGTTAACTATTGAGTATACAACAACGGCCATCGGGGGTGTCTGCTTAACAGTAAATTATTTAATATGGATAAGCAGTTGTTAATTATTTTGCAGTTTATTAATGCTTAAATAATGCACTTAGTTATGTATTAAAGGGACAACGATTGTTACCATTTATACAGTCTCTTGTGTTATAAAAATCCCGAAGTCATTGTAAAGTGATCAAAATCATGTTTTCATTCATTAAAATAGGTTACTTTTTATTTATTTCTATTTACTGGTCAACATTGTATTTTTCTACGAGGATATGGCCAGAGAAAGAGAGAGAGAGACCCAGAAGTCTACTTACTTAAGGGCTACATGTATATATTTTTTTCTTCTAAAATTATCCTAGTAATTATGGCATTGTTTCAAAACGTGTCTACATCCATACATAAACTGCACAGGGTGCTCTAACACTGCCAAAAAAATAAAAATAAATAAAAATAAATAAATAAAAGAAAACTAAACTTTTAAAATGTGCATGCTGGGTCTTGCCACTTGCAGAAATATTGTGTCAACTCAGCAGTTGTTGGCTGTTTAAGTGAGAACTGGGTGGGGTAGTACAGGACATTGGTGGATACATTTGAAGAGCAGATTATGATAAATGAACATGATAAATGACCTACACTTGTATAGCATCTTTCTGAGTCAGACTCCAAAGAGATTTATACTACACAGTCATTCACACACACACACACACACACACACACACACACACACACACACACACACACACACACACACACACACACACACACACACACACACACACGCGCACGCACACACACACACACACACACACACACACACACACTGAAAAGCATGTAGAATTGTCTCTGTGTATAAAACATGCTTTATAAAAAAGCAGCAATGTCTTTACAGAGAGCATCTATATGGATGGATGAAGGGTTAGGTTCCACTTATCGTCAACATTGTAATGATTTGTAGGTGGTTACTTTCGTGATATTGTCAATAGAATATAAAGGTATTCATTAAAATTTAATGCTCCATAAAAATATGGATTATCAATATTATTGAGCCTTTAATATCCAATATTCGATTGATGATGAAACTAGGTAGTTTGGTTAATCCATGTAAACAAGACTTTATAATAATTTGACACAAAGACCAAAAATATAGCTTATAAAAATCAATTTATTATTATTATAATGATGATGAAAAGCTAATGATTATGAATGGTGATTCTCAGTGAAGGCAAATGAGACAATGAATGAACTCTGAAGAAACATGACCTGGTATGTTTAAGAGTTTTCTAAGTGACTCAGAAAGGTGTGATGTCTGGGTTATAAATGAATTAGGCTTTTTGATGGATGTAATTTACCAAGTTATCAAATTTATATTAAACCACTCTGATGCCATTGTTTAGTCTACGCACCTTGGATTGTGGAAGCTCCCGGCAATCCGGTCTGCAGGCAAAGCTGTCTCTCAGAGCGAGTGAGTAAGCTTCTGATGTAACTGAATATCGTAGGCACCCTCAGAATATGCACAACTGGTCAAAAGATACGTCCCAGGTGGCTTCTGGCAGACGATTTCATGTAATAAGTGGGTGTTGGCTTGAGCAAATAATAATTGTTAATTAATAAAAGGATGTTTCATATGCCAATAAAATTATTCCACTGAAAAATCTGGTTTCATTCCCCAGAGGACGGTCATTTAGCATGAGCTATGAGCTCTTGCTCAACTAAGAAACTCTGGCAGAACTGGCAGTTCACTAATTAGCATCTCAGTTGTCTACAACCTTGTAATCAGTCAGTGGTCTATACCGTATATAGGGCTCCAGGTAGTCACTGTGTTGTTTGGTGATACAATGTTTACCACACTCAACATGAACCAGAAAAAGCAAATGAAAAAGTTATTTCAGGATTTTAGAAAGAAAATTATTGACGAGTGTTACAGGTAAAGGCTATAAGACCATCTCCAAGCAGCTAGATGTTTCTGTGACTACAGTTGCACACATTATTCAGACATTTAGCTTCATGGAACTGTAGCCAACCTCCCTGGATGTGGCCTCAGGAGGAAAATAAATGACAAAGAGATGGATAGTCCGAACGTAACAAAAGAGCCCCCCCCCCCCCCCCCCCCTCCCCCCCAAAAAAAACCTTCTGAAGAGGTTCAAGGCATGGACGCAATTTTCACCTTAGAAGTGCAGGGGACACGGGAGGGGGGGTTGGGGGATCTTTACAGGCTTCAACACAAACGGTTGTTTTCTGAGCTCAACCAGTGTCAATTTAATATAAAGTAATATTGTTTTTGATTGGTAAAAAGTGCAGGGGGACATCCCCCCCCCCCCCCCCCCAATTACGTCCATGGTTCAAGGTGAACTTCAAGCTTAAGGAACGCAGTGCCAGATCACAGGGGGAAGACCAAGGATCAAGAAGGACACCATTGTTGAAATCTAATCCTAAAAAAGCCAGACTGGATTATTCAAAACTGCATGCTGATAACATCCTATGGATACTGGAATTTTTGCAAACGAGCATCAGCTCTATGTTCACAGTCGGAAAAATGAACACTGCCCTTCCTGTGAAACATGGAGGAGGCTCTGTTTTGTTCTGGGGCTGTTTTGCTGCATCTGGCACAGTGTGTCTTGAATCTGTGCAGGGTACAGTGACATTTCAAAATCATGAAGGGATTCTAGACAGAAATGTGCTGGCCAGTATCATAAAGTTTGGTCTAAGTCGCAGGTCATGGGTCTTGCAACAGAACAATTGTTGCAAGTTCCCACATGCCAAAGACAGTGGCAAGAAACGGAGTCAACAGGTGGGCCACAGAGATAAGATTGGACCCACACTGAAATACACTGAACTTGCTTATGCGAGTAAAATCAGCCAGAAGACAGGGGCCCAACTGCACAACAAGCATGCAAGCTGGGACAAAAGGAGATCAACTGAAGATAAAGCATCTCAGAAGTGGACAAACCCTTCATGAAGAATCCAAGGGATCAGAACTTGCTTCTGCGAGTAAAATTGGGCAAAAGGTCAAGAAGTGTCTGACCCAGCCATCAGCAGGAGAGGTGGAACCGAAGGAGGCAGACTGGAAAGAGCTCATCAGGAGACGACAGGCCTTCATGAAGAATCCTGGACTTCGGAACAAGCTGAAGATTAGTAGCAAAGATGACACCAAATGTCTTGTGTTGAGCTAAAAAGCCTTCATGAAGAATCCTGGACTTCGGGGGAAGCTGAAGATCAGTTGCAAAAAATGACACTAATGGACATTAATGACGCTAGTTGAGCTAAAAAGTATGAAACTGATGTATG